GAGTAACCGACACCCAGGTTCATGGGGGCCCAGTTACCGATGGGAGAGGAGCCATCACCCCACTGGCAACCCTTCTCGGAGGAAACACCGGCGTTATTGACGTAGTACTGAGCGGAGGTAGTCTTGCCCTCCCACTTGAAGTAGGTGGCACCGTTAGGGCAGGTCAGGGGCTGGGTCTCGCCGTGGCCAAGACCCAGAGGGATGGTCTCAGACTCAGTGCCGGGGTAATCGGTACGGCAGACAGCGACGTGCTGGCCGACGTTGTTCTCGACCTCAACGCCACCAGTTCCCTCGATACAGAGAGTGGTGTGGGCAGTGTTGGTACGGTACAGCTTGCCACCCTTGCACTGGAGACCACCAACGGACTGGCCAGTGGAACCCTGGGTAGAGGGCCAGTGGGCCTTTTGGTAACCGGCAGGGCAGGCGTAGGAGCACATGGCGCCGTCAGTGCAGGACTCACCGCTGATAGCGGTAACAATGTCGCTGATCACCTCATCGAGGAGAGTGACATACTGGATACCAGAGTAACCACCGAGGCCAAGGTAGTCCAGAGCGACGGCACCGTAGTCGGAGGGGAAAGTGCCACAGTCGATCTCACCATCAGGGAACTCGGCAGTCAGGCCCTTGGCGGAAGTGCTGGAGCTGGAGCTGGAGCTGGAGCTGGAGCTAGAGCTGGAGCTGGAGCTAGCGCTGCTGGTGGAAGCGACGCTGGAGGTCGAGGAGCTGGAGGTGGTGGCGGGCTCAACGGTGGAGGTGGGAGAGGGGCTGTTGGGGGTGATAGCAGCGGAGGTCTCGAGAAGCTCCTGAGCAACAATGGTGGGGGTCTGGGTCGGGGTGCTGGTGCTCGACGGGGTAGGAGTAGCGGTGCTGGTAGGGCAGGCGTTGGCGACGGCATCACCGTACCACTTGAGGCTCTTGTTAGCCAGGCCGGCGCAGGCATCCTTGTTGCTGATCTCCTCAGAGTCACCATCGTTCTCGAGGACGACGAAGTCGTAGACGGTAGGGCCGGCAACAACAGCGGTGTCGGTTTCGGTCTCAACAGCGCGCTTGTGGAAGTGGGCGTGGCCGTGGCCGTGGGCGGCCACCAGGGAGCCCGCCGTGGCGAGAGTCACGGCAATGGAGTTGGAAAACTTCATTTTGAATTGCGAGGAGTTTCAAGTTGCAAATCTATTGGTATTCAATCCTGTCAGTCATCGCATCCATCTATATGTCTTCTGTATCTCTCGGTAGATGCCTCGCCCCTCTGGGGTGGCCCCCAACTGCCCAGATGGCAGAGCCGCGCTAGAAGATGAGCAAGATGATCCTCTGTATCTATTGCAACGCAATGCGGTTTGCAATACGACACGATGGGATATTATGAATGCGCTCGTCTTCTCTGCGCATTTCTCGCATCCCTCGATGATGAGTGGAGTTGAGGTCTTCTAGCGCACACCATTTCCTCCGGGGTAAGGGGATCAGATTGGCATCACATACATCAACGGCAAACCAGTCGCGCGCTTTCGTAAGGCTGTACACGAAAATTGAGGAATCGAGATTGAAAGAGAGTGTTGTGTTTTCCGATAAAAGAGTGTGATGAGAGACGAATCCCTCTAGGTCGGATAGGAAAACTCGAAGTGAATGAAAGGGAGAGAGGGAGAGAAGAGGAGAGAGTGAATCCTAGGGGGGCGAGGGGATTGAGTCTTCAGTGTATGGGAATACGGAGTATGGTAACCCGTCCAGGTACTCCGTACCCAGTAGTGCCTGTGCCTGGCTGCCCCACTACTGTTGTTGGTCAAAAAAGGGGGTGACCTGCATGGAAATTGTTTCACAATACACAGATACGGTATTTCCATACAGTCTTCTGTACTATGGGGACACAGCCTGGTGGATCCTCTGGGCACAACGGAGTATCCCTAGCCAAAAGGCCTCGACTGCTCTTGTCGCCTTGGCAGTCTATCTCACTTCTCCGTGGGGCGCAATTGATTTTTTCTTCTCTTCTCTTTACTCCGTAATGGTTGTTTACGGTTCGTGCCTAAAGGAAATTACCATGTGCCAGGGGTCAACCAATCAAAGGGGGGAGTGGTGAACTTTGGCTGGGACCATCCAGGTACACCAATCACCGTTAGGCGTCTCTGCCGAAATGCCTTGCGTATCCATGGGTACCGTATCATTCAGTTCGCCCGTTTAGCCATTATTATGATTCGGTAGCACTGTTATTATCGTTTGGTTGCCACTCTCTCCGTACAGAGTACTAAACTCTGTCAAGGTGACTCTCCTATTCTATACAGAGTACACAGTACTCCGTACTCTGTATCCATACTCTGTACTCCTACTCTTGGCAGATGCGCCAAGCCTGTGGGTGTTTTCTCCCCTTAGCCTCCGCAAGGTTAATTCCTGCTCTCGTGCTGATCACCGCGCCAGGGGGGCCGCTTCTCCCCCTGGCAGGTTTCTCCCGACCTGGCCGTGGTCTTCTTCCTACCCTTAGACCTGTGTCTGCACCTGCGAGCAGCAGGGGCGCCAGCGAGGGTCAATGGCGGGCCACTGCCCTATCCGAGTGCGAAGGATCTCCTTAACCCCCTTCCCTTCGTATTCACCCTCTTCTCACCCAATTTTCAGCCAAACACTCTTTGTTCCGCAAATTACCCTGCCCCTAGTCCAGGAAGGGGCTTCGCAGTCCAATCCTCGTGGTCCACTAGGGTGACGACGTCCACCAACGGTTTAATTAACGTCGGTGCGTTTCTCCAGATCTCCGGGCCAATCAATACCACCGGCTGGAACGCATCTCAACCCTCGTAAAATCGGGGCCCCCTCCAACTATTGAAAGAGGCGGGAATCAACAGCATCTGCCGGTACCTTAAGAGAAGGCCTTCCAAATGTCGATAAGCGTCTAGCTTGTCGATCCGCTGCAATCTTATTCACCCATCGTCCGCGTCATGGCTCATCCAGCTCATTACAACTAGCTTCGTATCCCCCTGTAATGAACTAACCGTCACCATCTTACTGTACAGACTACTCCGTACGGAGTCCCCATTTCAATCTCACCCACCGCATGGCAGACGGGGGAGATCCCAGGATACACCTGGGCATATATGTACAAGTACTCAACTGATATCCTCCAAACCTATTCGTCCATATCGAGGGCGAACTTCTCGCGTTGTATGCTGTACGCTTTGTCTATATGTACTCGGCAAATCTCCCGTTCTCGCTCTGCGATCTAATTTTGATCCGAGCATCGGTAGTCCGTGGGTTCCGACTGGAACTGCAACAATATGGGTGCCTGCCACATGCAAACAAACATCGCGCCAATTCTTTGCCAATTTACTCCGTACCATCCAAGGGCCTTCGCGAGAACTACTCCGTCACCTCAATCTATCCCGTGGATCCCAAGTAGAACAATACCCAACCACGCAGGATATATGGATTTCTCCGTACTCCGCAGTTCGACTCCTTTTCACATATCTTCCCCCGAGGAGACCCTCTCTAGCTCCTATCCGAGGCGACGCGGGACCACCACGCTTGCGTGGCGCTCTTCCTTAGCGAAATATTAATTAACGATTCCATCTCAGTGGAGCCGCTTAGGAGCAAAGTTCATAGCCTTGTGGGATACAACTCGATTAAAAAATGGGCCACTGTTTATACCTCTATGGAGTACCGCTGACCCAGTTCAGCCCCGTTGCAATCAGCCCACATCTGATCTCGATGAAGACGAGAACTAAGATCCCCTCCAGATAAACCCGGGGCCAAATAGCTAGTACAGACCCAAATAACGACACAACTCTGCAGCTCTACAAATACCGCTCTGTGCATGCAGTATTTTACTTGTGTTTGTACACCTGTACGGGGTACGCATCATGATACTACATATCTACGGCGTACTCGGTACTTGCTAGATAGCCCCTATTCCCCAAGTACACATCTCCTCCGTACATACATATAACCCGTCTTGCGTGGATCATGTAAAATAAACAAACCCAGCTCCTCCGTGACCTATCTGACCGAATCTCATCTCGCGGTCGGCCCTGGTCAAAAATAGACTCGGACAGAAAATATCACAGCATCGCCACCGCTAATGTCGGGAGCATTGGCCAGGTTGTGGCGTGGGTATTTATGTGCCATATCCCGTGGTTATCGCGGAGAGTCTGGGTGAGCTGGGGCTCACTATTATTAGAAAATTTCTAAGCCGTGTGGGTGGCTTGATTGCTTGGAGACAAGAGGCGTTCTGCTAGGCGCGACTGCATATTGCTTCTTCAGGGTCTGAGACATCCTCAAACAGTAGACTATAGCTTGAGCGTGTGCTCATGTTGGTCTTTCAAACTTGAATGTCAGCAACCTTGGAAGGCTCAGCTGTGATGTTTGATGTTCAACAGAGAGTGTGTGTTTGCGGTGGGTGGTGACACCTGGGCAGTATGAAGCCCGAGCAAAATGCTGGCGACTCGGAGTGATGTAGTCTACCAAGATTCAAGTTGCAAGTGTGTTGAATTGGATAGTATCTTACTGTCAAGGTTCCTGGGGTTGAAACTTGAAAGTTCCGAGTTCAACCCTGGAGCTTGGTTCCGTGGTGGTACTCTCTTGTGGTTATGTGGACCATAGTTTACCAAGATATATATTCGAAGATGACCGTGCCCAGGTGACTCGGACCTCAGTAGAAACCAATTTCAAGCCCCGGAGTTAACCTTGTTAACTTGAAATGGCATGTTGGAATAGCATGGAAATAATAGTTGACTATTCTGGGGCCTTTTCAATCCATTGGTCGAGTATCTAAATTGATGTTTATAGCCTCATCGATTGACAGCGCGAACATGATCTCTACCATCGCCCGAACTTGTCGACATGCGTTGATAAAAGTACCACCAGCAAAAAAAAAAAACCGACCATATATCTAGAATTATACAAAAATCGCAGTTCTTGATAATGGATCTAGCGCGTAATGAGTTGTTGTGCTTCGCCACGATCCAGATCGCCCGAATTGATGATGGATGGGTGCCTCAGGCTAGAACGGGTCCATGCCAAGCCCGGTGAAAATGTCACCGCCTTCCGAGGAATTTTTTTTTTTGGATCTTGGATCTCGATATCGGCGCAAAAAACCCATTGAGACTACATATCGTCAAAATGGTGTCCTCTACTACACTCACCTCAAAGGTGACATCGGGATCGCCCTATCAGCTCGATACCCCCCCAGGTTCGTCAAACATAACCCCCCCCAACAGCAATGCGCAACCGCTAATTCCTCTCAGGTCGTCAAAGCTTCCTCCGCGTTGCTGCGACACATCAAGTCCAGCCAAGAGGAGAAGGAGAAGTCCGCTACCAAGAAGACCCTGATTGGCGACAATGATTCCGACGATGACGAGAGCACTCCCCTGACCAACGAGGCCGTCTGGCTCATCCTCACCACCAAGAAGCACGTCGTGGACAAGAACCGCCTGAAGCCCGGAAAGATCAGCGTCCCTCACTCCCTGAACTCCTCGCCCTCGCTCAGCGTCTGTGTTATCACCGCCGACCCCCAGCGCAGCGTCAAGGACATCATTGCCGACTCTGCTTTCCCAGCCGAGCTCAGCTCCCGCATAGAAAAGGTCATTGGCTTCTCCAAGCTCAAGGCCCGCTACCAGAGTTTCGAGAGCCGTCGCCAATTGCTCGCCGAGCACGATGTCTTCCTGGCCGATGACCGGATCATCACCCGCCTGGTCACTACCCTCGGAAAGATCTTCTACAAGTCCAGCAAGCGCCCGATCCCCATCCGCATTGCCAAGATCGAGAAGGAGGATGGCAAGCGCATCAAGAAGGACCCCAAGCAGAAGAAGCCCGCCAAGGAGGACAGAGTCGCCGCCTTCGCTTCCCCTCTGATCGTCGCCAAGGAGATCGAGCGTACCCTCCAGTCTACCCCCGTCCACCTTGCCCCCGCCACTACCGTTGCCGTTCGCGTCGGCTCCTCCAAGTTCACCGCCGACCAGCTGTCCGAGAACATCGCCGCCGTCGTCAATGGAATGACCGAGAAATTCGTCGCCAAGGGCTGGAGGAACATCAAGGCTCTTCACGTCAAGGGTGCCAACACCACCGCTTTGCCCATCTGGCTGGCCAATGAGCTCTGGGTGGAGGACGCCGATGTCGTCGAGCCCGAGAACCTTGCAATCGAGGAGTCCGCCAAGGCTAGCAAGAAGCGCAAGTCTGCCGGTGAGGAGAAGCAGGTCGAGGGCAAGAAGTCCAAGAAGTCTAAGCCCGCCGAGGACGATGATGAGGAGGAGGAGGCGGCGTCCGTTGCGGCGCGAAAGGAGAAGCTCGCCAAGCTCAAGGCCCAGGCTCTTGATGATGGCGAGACGGTGAAGGTTCAAGCCCCGGCTGCAGGCAAGAAGAAGAGAAAGTCTACTTCATGATGGGATATAAATTTGCCTAATTAATGTTTCTGCATGTAAAGGTAGTTTTATTCGGCGTACAAAATATCACCTGTGTCTTTTTAGTCTACATTTGTGTTTCTCTCTAGTTCGACTTGACGCTTGAATTGCTTTTTACAACTCCACTTACCTGAAGTTAGATGTAGTATATTCATAATCGTAAACCACCATCGCGGTAGCTCCGAAGTTTTGAACATGGTAAACCTAAGTTGCCAAGGTTGCTCTACAAATGGCCCCTATTTTGTTCCTAATCTCTAGGTCCTTGCCTTGAGACACATAGTGCCAATTGCTTTACTTTCAAATATCTCGGTTTGCTTCACAATACCCGTTGTTTCCAATGCTTTAAAAGTACCTGGTAGTAGTGTGTACCCTTTCTTTTCTGTTGCTTAACCTCACGCAGATACTAATAAAGTGACTGTTAATAAATAAGACCCCAGTAACCGTATATTGAACCCTTAAGGAGACGTCATGGCTTGAAGAAAGGCGACTATCAGCATTGTCATACCCTAGGCTCGGCGGCGATCAGGCTATATGATGCCTGCATTAGCCGAGTCCGACCTCGGGCGGGCAGGTCTTGGCGTCCCGACGATAACCACATCCTCACCTCACATCACCGCGGATCGCCGAGATTCTACCTCGACCTTTCTGGCACCTTGGGAGCACCACGACAACCTTCTCGACTCCAGATAACGTCGTCGCCATGATTCCGATTGCTCGTCACTCTGCTCTGCGAGCTGCCCGCTCGCAGCTTAACCCAACCCGGGCTCTGCGCCAGCCCGCTTCCTCGGCGCTCGCCCGCCTGCTCTCGACCCTCGCCGTTCTCGAGCAGCGCGAGGGCAAGCTGCAGAACTCCTCTCTCTCCGCAATTGCCGCCGCACAGAAGCTTGGAGGCCCCGTCACAGCTTTCCTGGCCGGCAGCGGTGTCAAGGGAACTTCTGCCGCCGAGGCCGCAAAGATCCAAGGCCTTGACAAGGTTATCGCCGTGGAAAGCGATGCATACGAGAAGGTATGCATATATACACCCGTGGATTATAATTCCCATAATCGCCTCTTGCGAGCAGAAGCTGATATCTACCCTTTCTTTTCTATAACAGGGCCTCCCCGAAAACTATGCCCCTCTTCTGGTCGAGAACATCAAGAAGGGCGAATACACCCACATCGTCGCCGGCCACTCTGCCTTCGGCAAGAGTCTTCTTCCCCAGTCGCCGCTCTCCTAGACGTCCAGCAAATTTCTGACATCACAGGCATTGAAAGCGAGGACAGTACGTTGATCAAATTGGACAGAACAAATTTGACATGTGAAAGTCAACTCGCTAACCCGCACAACCACAGCCTTCGTCCGCCCCATCTACGCCGGTAACGCCATCCTCACCGTCCAATCAACCGACAACGTCAAAGTGATCACCGTACGAGGCACCGCCTTCCAGGGCGTCGAGACTGAGGGCGGATCCGCCGAGGTTGTCGACGGCGTTGACTCGAACGCCGCCGCCCAGACCGAATGGGTGTCCGAGGAGCTGGCCAAGTCCGAGCGTCCCGATCTGGCCACCGCCTCGCGCGTCGTCTCCGGCGGCCGTGGCCTGAAATCGAAGGAGGAATTCGACCGTATTATGCTCCCGCTTGCTGACTCGCTTGGTGCCGCTATCGGTGCTTCCCGTGCCGCGGTCGACAGTGGCTTCGCCGATAACAGTCTGCAGGTTGGCCAGACTGGTAAGAATGTCGCTCCTCAGCTGTACCTGTGCGCTGGTATCTCCGGTGCTATTCAGCACTTGGCTGGTATGAAGGACAGCAAGGTTATTGCTGCTATTAACAAGGACCCCGAGGCTCCTATCTTCCAGATTGCTGATGTTGGTCTGGTGGGTGATCTGTTTGAGAAGGTTCCTGAGCTTACGGAGAAGGTGAAGAGTGCTTAGGTATCTACGAGTATCTTGCGCTGGTTTTGTTGCTTTCCCGTTTTCTCTCTCTTTTGTTCCTGGCGTGACCTTGTTGAGGGTCTTTTGTTTCCGTACAGAATACCATATCACTGATTAGAGGACTAAAGTCGAGAGGCTTAGTCACTTTGCAATAAATATTTCAGAATACAGCTTGCCTTTCTCGATAGGGTTATTTGTAGGATGATTAGTGGTTATAACGGGATATAATCTTGATTCTATGCTAGTATGAGTCAATTGTTTAGGATTGCGCACTGGGGCCACCTAGGAAGCATTTTGTCTTTCTTCGTCATTCTACGGATATGCTGGCAACAATGGATATTGTGCAGATAAGATTGAAGAGTTGTAAATATTACAGTACTATTACATTGCAAAAAAAGCACCTTCAGTTCTCCCTTCAAGGAAACTCGTCCGGCCATACCAGCGGTAGCCAGACTCTCAACACTAACTTGTCAGAAAGCGAAGTTACTGCCCAGGTGCCAGTAACTACGATCTATCACTTTTTGCCGGAAAACATACTTAGGTATTCCTTTCTCAAGTATACCCGTTCTCGTCAGATCGCTTTCATCTCCTTCAATATCACTCGGTCCACTACGCCTCATATGCTCCTCCATCTTGTTAGAAGACGATAGATCCTTTCTTCATCTGAGCAATTGAATCTTTCAAGCCCTTTTTAGCGATCCCAGTCTAGGAACTCGCTTGATATTAGGCCTCAGCTCTTTTGAAGAGCAAGGGCTTATTTACTTCAGGTATAATCTGTCCCTATTCAGTTGACCGTTGGGGTATGTCAGGGCTTTTGCAGTACTTACCACTCGACCAAGCTCGTAATTCTGATATCTCTTTGTCTCATCACCCACAACTTTGAAATCATATTCCAGTAGTATCTTGGACAAGATCATCTTGATCTCAGCAGCAGCTAGGAACCTCCCTGGGCACGCATGTTTTCCATATCCAAAGACAAGATTTTGCTCGTTCGAAGTAACGAATTGATTGCGAGCGCCCAGCGCCGCGCTCCCGCCCTGTCGGATTTTGTAGAATCGAAAGCCGTCAAAAGTATCGCTGTCAGGGAAGGTGGCGTTATCTTGATATATGGCATGCGCTGGGGTCTCGATAAAACTACCAGATGGTATATATTGACCATTAGATAGCGTGATTCCTCCAACTGCCTGACGGGAGAAAGAGGTGATTTCTGGTGGATGAAAACGGAGTGTTTCCTTCATATATGAGTCAAGCTTTTCCAGCTGCTGCAGTGCACGTGAGGTGAGTACACCTCCATTATCTCCTATCACCGTCTGAATTTCTTCACGTAGAGGCGGTATATAATCCGGAGTTACCGCCAGGTTGTAAAGGATATTGGTCGTAGTGACGGTAGTGTTGTGAATCCCGGCGAAGATCATGAGAAGTTGCATTTTAACGATGTGTCGCAGTGATTGGGACTTGCACTGATCGCTTCGATTCAGAAACCACTGGAGCATATCATCGGGTTTCTGATAATCAGGATTTTTGGCGGCCTCACGCCGAGCTTGCACAATGGGCTCAAAGAACTTGACTGCTAACTCCTCACGTTCATTGACTCTCTGTACCTGTGGCAATCTCGATGCCAAAAAGGGACGTAGCCATGGGTTCATTCTTTTGATTGCCTTCATAGCATCGATTAATTCCGTGGTGTAATTGATAGCAGTGTCGAGGTAATCCTTGTCATGGCAAAGTTCCGAGCCAACGAATATGCGCCCAGAAACCTGCGCTATGACCTTCACGAGTTTCGGGAAGATAAATACCGGTGTCCAGTCTTCGCACGCCGGAATCTCATTCTTCAACACATCGCGAATCTCTTGATTGAGAATGGGACTTAGACGGGCTATCTAGGATCAGAAAAGGCGGGTCTGGTGGGTAGAGAGATGTGATAATGAGGCATACATAGTGCGGGGTTTAGATCTGCTCTTACACAGTAAGGCCCAATTGGTTCATCTGGGTCAACCCCAGTATATCTGACTTCCAATACCTTCATTTATTAATTGTTGATACTCGTAAATATAAACAAAGCATGACCAACCTTCTTGATTGCAGCTGGAAAGCTAAGCACCATTTCAGGTAGTTTGTTCAATTCGGGCAAGAATTGGCCGGGGACGACGACGTTCTTCCGGCCTGCGATAAACAGATGTTAGTATTCAACATAAAGGTTGATGAATCACAACCATATCAATCATTGAGGCATCATACCATCAGAAGTGGGCATGACCCAGATTTGATCTTTGAACTTTTTGGTTTATCAGCATGGTCCTGTAATTGGAAATTCGTGTGTGATCATACTTTGTGATATCCATCACGGTACAGCTTGCTTGCAGACTGCAAGTAAGTTTTCCTCCACTCTTCTGCACCTTCGTTCGTCTCGACCGTTGGAAGTTTGCCCAGGCGTAGTTTACAATTAAACCAAGGGATGATGATGTAGGCAACAACAATAAGGGCGGCTAAAATAAATGCTCGAATGTCGCACGCGACAATCCAAAAATGCGGGCCTTCCATGGTTCGATATGAGGACATCGGAGTAAAGACCATGGAGTGGTGCTTTCACTGTCCTTTTGTACCTTGCATATTCTTCAGAATTAATTCAAATTTCTGCAGCCGGTCTTCACTGAAACACGGAGCCGTTTTTCCCGCGATCCGGTATTCTGCCTCAGTCTTGTCTCCCGAGATCCGGTATGGAAAATCGAGGTTCCTTGATAATCGTCTTAACCATAGTGGTAGCGCTGCAGATCCGAGATTATCCGAATAAGGAGTTCACCGGTTAGGTCACAGGGAGCTCTTCATTCAACGCAAATTATGTTATTGCATACTATGGAAATCTGCCAGTGGAGTACTAATACTACAAATACTAGTCGGTGTGGGGTATTCCTAGCGCTGTCGTCTTACACCATCCTATACTATATGTACACATGTGCAAGTGACAACTCGAAGCAGATTGACTAGTAGTAACTTGAATGATTGGGAAATAAAAAATCTCGTAACGACTATTGAATTCCCACATCCCAGTTAGTGGAGATGATGAGAGAGAATTTTCATAAAGTTATGTCCAGTGTTGTATAGGATCCATATGATTTTTTTTAGCACGTAGCTGGCTTTTCACCTGTGGGTGGGGCATTTGATCAGCATTAAAAGGACCCCCTACACTACATTGTTCAATTGGCAATGAATGACTGGTTGCATCAAGCCCCACTGTCCCACAATAGAGCTTCAAATACGTACGAGCGGCCAATTAGCGATAAAGAAGCTGGCAAGGCGGGAAACGACCACTGAGCTACGAGTCGTTGGCTACGACTCGGTTGGCAACTTTGAAATTATGGAATCCAAAATTTACCAGGATCAAGTGTACACAATCTCGGAAACGGAAGGTCTTGGACTCAATAAAGTCTTTTGACATATTGGGAAAGCCGTGGGGCCTCGTCTCTTCGGTAAATGTGAGCGCATTTACCGGTTTTCCGGAGATAGGAGTTTAGCTGCCTGCCTACTAGGAACGCCGATCTGAAGTACTCTATAAATATTTACCAGGTCACGATTATTGATGGATTCTGATCATCATTCTGAATTTACACTGAGGAAAGAAACATTCTTCATACCTGAAATGCCCGGCAACTATGAAGCCGCTCACAAATCACCGTCAGGGCCAGGTGACGCCCGACCAACCGCCCTTCAAATCTTACAAGATGAAGATCTTGTCGGAAAACTCGAGGGAAAAGTGATATTTATTACAGGCTGTTCATCTGGGTTGGGTGTTCAAACTGCCAAGGCCCTTTATGAGTCCGGTGCCACTTTATACCTTGCTGCTCGCGATCTCAAGAAAATGAGAGCCGCGCTTCAAGTTTCCGGCATCGTTGGCAGCCCCCGGGTACACTTATTGCCCCTCGATTTAAACTCACTCGCATCTGTCCGCGCCTGTGCAGATCAATTCAAAGCCGAATGCTCAACCCTCAATATCCTCATCGCTAATGCCGGCGTCATGGCATGTGCGGAAAGCCGTACTCTAGATGGTTTCGAAACACAGTTCGGCGTCAACCACCTGGCCCATTTTTTGCTTCTAAATTTGTTGAAACCAATCCTTCTCACTTCGTCGACCCCGAATTTCAATTCTCGTTATGTGATAGTGTCATCAGTTGCTCACAACTATGGTGATGTCAGCTTCGATAATATCAACTTGGAAGGGGAATATAACCATTGGAAAGCATATGGTCAAAGCAAAACTGCAGGCATTTGGACTGCAAATTGCGTTGAGCGACTTTATGGGTCTAATGGCCTTCACGCCTTCAGCTTACACCCGGGCGGAATTGCCACAGACCTCCAGCGACATGTTCCAGAGGAAATGAAGGCCTGGACACAAGACAAGGACGGGGCAAGATACTGGAAATGTCCGGAACAGGGTGCGGCGACGTCTGTTTGGGCTGCCATCTCTAAAGAACTGGAGGGAAAAGGTGGCAAATATCTGGAAAACTGCTCTATTGCGGGTCCAAATACACCGGGAGAGAATGGCCAAATGGCAGGTTATGCCGCCTGGGCCTACAACCCTGATGCAGAAGCTAAATTGTGGGCAAAATCGATGGAAATGGTAGGATTGCAGGAATAGTGAGGTAAACTTTTCTGTTTCTCTGATTTGATGCGACCATGATTTCAAGTTCAGCCTCGCCTCTTCAAGTCCAGTCATACCCTTTCGCCGGCACGGTTGAGTAATGCGGTTGCTGATGAAAGATATGCGATTGTATGTAGATACTTAGGAGTAGTAAAATACTAGTATTCTGTTCGGCCAAAGCAACTATCTAGCAGAGGGTTTCTTTGGTGAATAAATGTCTCCATATAATACTAGTAGTACTCTGCTGACAGGTAAGAACGTACCTAGGTATAATGATCCCCAAAACACGACATTTAAGTCTAGGGAAAAAGCCAAATACTAAGTAGAAGAATTCAGAGTATATGCAGGGTGATAAGTGTGGGCTGGAATGTAATTGCTCTTTGGAGAAGATAGAGAAGGAAGCTAAAAAGATATCGCAAGTGTCGCGAGGAAGAATAGACCCATCACCGTCAGCTGTATGCATATACGTACTAGTTTATATTGGTATGCAAAGCATCTTTATTTGTGAAAAATTCAATATAAGAATGGTGCTGATTTAGTAAGCCATCCATGGATACCGTAGCGATACCACGATCAGGAGCGACCGCTTATAGTGTGTCCTCTGGCACATAATGGAAAGAAAGTGAGGAATGGCCGAGACCAAAAGCATCTGAATTCTCAAAGGCCAGCTGGTCATTTTCTCCACCTGGCACAGAATTGAAATCCGTGAGCACCGTGGCATGATCCTGCCCTTTCTCGTCGTTATTCGAGAACCAGGAGGGCGGGGTATCGTGAACAGTTTGGTGAAAGAAAGCATTTGTATTATGAATAGGGGTCGTATATTGTGGCTCACCGAAGCCAATGGGTATGAAAAAGTCTGCTGCAACGTCGGCTACCGTGGCTCCAAGATGTGAGCAGTATCCTGCTGTTGGGTACAGGTATGATGACAGCTGGCCAGAAAAAGAGACTGGTTCTCTTCCCCGCAATGGAATACGAGTATCGAGCATTGACCTGGAAGTAGGAAAGAGAGAAGATACAGCTCCGTTGCCACTTGGCGATGTGACAGATATCAAGCATGAGTCGGCGTAGATATCTGCTGCAAGGTCCGTATAGCGGGCAAGAAAATGAGATTGTTCGTGGAAGTTAGAAGTGGGGGCGATGATTTTCTCGAAACTTTCCGATAACTCGAGCTCGTTGTCATTTTTCGCATATACCAGAGGCCCCCCCGAGATTTCCTGTAGTGCAAATACTGAATCCCTTGATGAAATTCCCGATCAAATTCACTGTATCATAATCGCGCCAGGTCTTGATCAATCGCTCACGGGCACGAGACCTGTTTGATGGGAAAATTGATTCGTGGTTAGAAGGCTTGAATTTTAATTTCCTCTGTCCGATATTCCGTGTGACTACACTCACCAGATCATGAAATCTATACAACCCGGATTATCTCGAAGAAGCCTCGTCGGCTCAGGGCGGTACCAAACAGGGCACTTCTCAAGATTCTCAGTAGATGGAAACACAAAAATCTATCCAAATGAAAAGTCAGCTCCACTACATAATTTCTCTTTAACTTGATCATTTGGAAGGAAAGGCCCTGGAGGAGAGTAGTAGGATCATCGTACGAGTAGGTGCCGATACTGGGCCCAGAACAAAGCTATTTGCTCCATATGGGACCGGCAAAAGTCTTGCCAAGGTAACACAAGCTGGTATGCCAGAAAGGCTGTTCGGCGGCGAGTTAAATCTAGGTGGCTGGTATTTTTGTCCTGCGATGGCGAGAGTATTTCTCGAGGCCCCTGCCTCACGGGTTGATCCAAGCCCACTGTCCCAGGGTGATTGTGCAATAACCGTAGGAGTGTTGAGTAAAAATCACTAGTGGTGATCTTGGAGTAAAGCACGTCTAGAAATGTTCGAATAAGTGACTGGTTCTAGCCAATTTCATCTCATCAAGGCTCCGGTCAAATGATCTTACCATCCTTCGCAAAATCCTCCGTAAGACCGCGTAGATTATAATGCCGGGCAAGATAATCGAGGCCATCTGTGAGACCTTTGGAATATTTCCAGGCCAAAACGGTCTCGATAAATCGATGGGAGGATATTTCCTGTGATTCAAGATCTGAACCATGTTCCATCGCCTCCATAATACCAAAGAATATGGATGGCTGTTGCGAGAAGCTCCGCCTAAGCATATCGGAAACATTCCCCAGCTGACCATCTACAGCACTGCTGTTTGCTGTGGTTTCCCTCTCGGGCGACACAAATATCGAGCTTGATGGATTTGAAAAACGCGAACAATCCGAATCCGCGTCGACCTGCAAACATTCTTTCGAGATGCGATGTACATGTTCAAACTTGGCCTTGAACATATCTAACTTGGCTTTCATAGCGTCGTTTTCCATGGACATCCGCTCGAGCAAAGTTTTGTGGTCGCCTTCCACGAGCAGATCCATCTTGTCTTTGAAGAGGGTAGCTGTCTCCTTGGACTTCTGCCGATTTCGGCGTTGGCTGATTCGATCGACATGGCGTTTTCTTTCAAGCTGTTTCTGGCTAAAATTAGCTTTCCATGACTGTTTTGTGGCGGTCTGTTGGGCGGATGGATCGGATGAGGCCGTCATAGTGGGAATATGGAATCTTTCATAGAGACAAAGGTAGAAGAGCCAGTCCCCGAAGGAAAGTAATAACCTTGAACGCCGATCAAATGGAGAAAATCAGGACGAAAATGACTAGGTGAGTCATGTGATCTCGGGCTACCAGGCGCACTCCACGAAATGATGAAAGATATAAATTTATCTCGGAGTCACCTCTGGTCATCAGCTGGTCTATAAGTGATAAATCATGGCTAGCGGTGCTTTTGATCGCGGCTAAGCAGTTACCTAGGTACTCAGCGAACTCACTTCATTATAGAGCCTCAAGTATGACACTGCTGATTAGGAATGCATCATTCGCTGTCCCAGAGATGAATTGTAAAACGTAGTAAGTTTCATAGAAAGCGGTCTGAAAAGCATTTGTCTGGAAATATGTAGACGCAGTAATTTTCTGCATTCCTTTCATGCGGAAAAGTTCATATTCCTCAAGTCCCAAACGTTGCCAATGTGAGAGGATTAGCGAACGCCCAGTATACCTAAAATAGTCGACTCACAACATTACCATCTGCTCCCGACCCAGAGCTTGTCCAGTCTAGAAGAGTCACGCTGGATAGCGAGACCAGGTATTTCCTGGCAGAAAGAACATAGTAACTAGTGATGGGGGTTTCAACGATAATGAATCCCGTAGCCCAGCACTCGCAATCCTAGTGCTCATAGTTGCTTGTTCCTGTGCTATTATTATATTCGAAACCTAGTTAACTTGCAATAAAAATCCAAAAATATAGTTTCTTTGCTATAACGGACATATAATCTTGATTCCATGCTATTATGAGTCAATTGTTCTGGCTTGCGGGCTAGGGCCTTCCAGGAAGCATCTTGGCTTACTTCGTTATTCCACGGATCTGCTGGCCACAGTGTATCCATGGATACTGTGCAGATAAAGTTGAAGAGTCGAAAATATTAAACATACGCATAGTAATAAATAAAGCATATATTAAGTGTTGTAAATGCCTTGAAAGGATGTGAGTGAAAGAAACAAACAACTGAGTTCTCTTTGTATCCTCGGAATGATGATTGATAATGGTAGCCTCAATCACACGCCTCTCTAAGTCTGCAGCAAGCCTCTGGAGCGCTTGGACTTCTTACAGTAGCCCATTCCGTCCGGACCCAACTACTGGGGACACGAATGAGGCACCCCCAGCGACCTCGAGTGAGTTTGAATAATCAGATATCACAGTTGGAGTACCGGAGATGCCTTCTGGCATACACATGTCATGGCCTCGAGAGTCTCTCCAAAGTGGGACATATCATGGAAGGTCACAGAATACTTAGTAGTAATAGCTTCAAGTTCTTTCGCGAAAAATTCCAGGATTATTAGTATTATCACTGGTAGTAATAGTACTACACCAGCTGCGCAGGAACTTAGAACTTCTCAACCCCCGTGCCGGTATCCAATTCCACCGGTATCTGCCTTCCCCGTGGATCTAGCTCAGCACGTTGTATATACATAGCATTCAATTCCAAGGGAATTTGTGGCCTCCCAGACGCGCTGATCATGACTTTCCCCGCCTCTTCTGCCTCTTCTGCCCTTTTATTCTTACGCCGGACCATCCAGCACAAAACCGCGATTGTCACCATCATTATTGCCCCCACTGCCGCAGCGACCCCGATTCCGGCTTTGACGCCCGTAGAAAGAGTGCCACTGGTTCCATTTGCTGCATCTTGGGTGGCAGCTCCTGTTGTAGATTCGCTAATGGGGCTGCTGGTAATGGTGCCCGCTGTGGTTGTTTTCGGTGCAAAGTCGCCAGATTTCCAGCGTATAGAGATACCCTGGGCATTGATCCCGTCCGCTCTTATCGTACTCGAGGTCGTGCCGGCTTTTGTGAAAGTCCAAAGTTGATCTGAGTACGCATTGTAGGACGTACACACGTTGTGTGTGTACCAGGACAGCCTGGTGGTATCCGGATTGGCTGTATAGTTGCTGGACCAGGTTATCAGTCAAGATTCCCGAGAGCATTCTACCTCCTGCCAGAGGAGATCGATTGCGACACTTGCAGGATTCACTTACTCTGGGCAGCATGTAGCCCGTGTTTCTTCCTCTCCGTCAGATGTCACCGTGCGGTCTTTAGCAACCCAATACCCCGAGGGGCATATCCCTGGGGAGTAGTAGAAGTCTGTACTACTGGCCTGATAGCCCGAAGGATAACAAAACCCGGTATTTCTAGGGCCCAGACTCATCCACCAGCTAGTATCGGTTCCAGTTACGATTTTGTCGTAGTAGTCGGTTCCAGAAACGTATTCGATAAGCCATGTGTTGGTAAAACATGCTGCTGGAGGGGTGAATGTGGTGGTTAGGGGTATAGGGCTGTCAGTGGTGGCCGACATGACGTCCAGCTGTGCCCGTATGCTAGATAGACGAGGTAGAAAGGTTTTGCGAGGGGAAGTGCCCCCTAGATAGACTATTCAACATCCCTGACACGCTAAGTATGTAGTCACTAAGTCTGGGATGGGCTTTCTATAATGTGAAGCGCGCGCTTAAAAAATTAGGTGGATTTCCACCTCTTGTTAAATGAGGGGATCAGCCATGGAGTGGATTATGATGGGGGGGCCGAAAGAATTGAGATGCATCACCGTTCTGTTCTAGATCATCACATTGTGGGTGTGGGGTTGGGATTTTTAATTTTTCCAACTCCATCATATACTGCGTGGGATTTGTATAACGCCAGATCCTTCAATTGGAATAGGCATTTTGTACTCGGTAGATCCACTGGCTTTCCGCCCTGCTTGGTCGCTCGATCGGTAAGATCGGCGTGCCCATCAGGCGAGGCTGAGCACGTCCATTTCATGCTTAGATACGATTGAGCCGATTCAGTTATCGTCCCCACCCCAAGACCCTCGGGGAACCGAAGCCAAGAAACGGAAGCGCCGGCCCCCATGAGGCCGACTCCAGGAAGTTCTTCGAAGTTTTTCCTACTCCGTAGTTTTCGAGGACCACTGCCCACAAGGTTCAGGGTATTCCGTGTTGTGAAGTCTTCTCTCATGCCTCGTTGTAGACGTTGACTCGCCTTGCAGAGCACTACATGTATTACGTATGATTTCAAGTGCCTCGACCGCCCAGGCTTGGTGAAGGATTGCTGTATGAAAAGGGCTTGGCCTCTCATTGGTTAAGTTCCACGTCAGGCAGTATGATTAATGTATTACTTATTCCCCCAACTTCTCCACCTCCAGGTTCTGCCAATTGTTGTCTGGTTGTTCCCCTCCGCACCTCATGTATGAACTGGCAACCTGTCTACGAGTACTTTTGTTGCCATCGGCCCTTCTCAACATTGCTAGTGCGTGTTCATGGCTGCTGGCTAGTACGGACACCAACGAATATATTTTTAGGCTCTATCACCCTTTGTTTTGTGGAAAACCTGGTATCATATAAGCCTCATTCGTGGTTTATGAGGACACTTGGAACCACCTCTATCTATCTTTCTTGTATAAGCATGGACTTGAACCAATTGGCTCTTTCAAGTGATGCTGTGTATGGAGATCGGCCAAATAAGGATGATAATCTGGTGGACCGTGCGTAAGTGGTCACAGCAAGAGAAAAAACATTCGTTCAGGAGGATATCAACCTTCTAACCTCGATGCTCGAGACTGCGCGTTTATGTGAAGCGCGTAGCTGGACTTAGTTTGCAATATAGGTGATAGAGTATATGGTCTCTGTGGTAGGAACGACTATCTTGATCTTCTGACACTTCAAAATAAGCTTGCAGGGGTTTATTGAGCAGAAGGTCAAGCAAATTATGTGGTCGAGCTTCTCAAGCATATAATCAGCGTTTGGGGGAGGTTTGCTAGACTTAACCTTAGTTTTTAGTGATTATCAGGCTTGGAGTGGATGTAGATTGGTTGACCTAAATGGGACTAGCGTGGCACGCGTTCGCGCCGCGAGACGCGTGAAACTGCGGAGGGACGACTGTGACTTCCATGGAGAATTATGCTCACGACAATTACAATGAGAGACGCTTGATGATTCCTTCTTCGCCAATTCTCTCCTCCTTCGATCCTGCTTGTCACCTTCACTCCGAAGATCTACCAATAACAGCCAACCCCCTTTCCGAATCCTTCTCCGACGACCTTGAAGCAATCCACCTTGCGCGCGCAGATCTGACCCGCAACAAAGTTGTGATTCAACATCGAGCCTGGAATTTGTCCGATGTATTTCGCAGTGACGAAGATATAAGACTTGGTTAGATCCCATCAAATGGAATCCGAAGTCGAGTGACTGGCGTTAACAGGGTACTATACAGATACTACTCCGACAAAACCCTCCCTCCGCACCCCACGAGGTCCTTCACGCACGCCGACCTGGAATTCGGCACTACTTACCTCCTCCCCTCCCATATTCAAAATGCCTTTCATTTCGCCACTCGGTACCTCCGTTCGTGAGAATGCCGCGGGTGACTCCCAGAAGCGAAAGGCAGGCGAAGTGGACAAGAGCCCGCAAGCCGAACCCAAGCGACAGAAGTTCGTCGGGGGATTCGTCGACGATGATGAGGATGAAGAAGACGATGATCTCGCTGCGCTTAGGGACGAGCAACTAAAGGCCCAATTCGACTTGCCAGAGAACCCTGAACTACAACTACCCGGCATATTAGATCAACCATATCAACTGCCGTCCCTGTCTCAAACGAACGACACCACGCCCAAAGCTCCTCAAGCTCAACCTCAGATGACTATTCGACCTGCCCCTACAGCTCCAATGAAATTTCAGATCAAGACCTGCTCAGGCAAGACACACCATATTTCGTCGAAGAAGGCTTCTACTCCTCTTTCCTACGAGCGCATGATTGCTGGTAGATCCGAGACCGAAGCAGGGCGAGCAACGAAGAGCTACTATGGAATCGAAATACACAAACTGCTGGACGATGCTGCGAAGGAAGCCCAAGCGAAAGCTTCGAAGGCAGCATCAGCGGCTCCGGTACAGCCCTCTATAGAAAAGCACGAGGGCGATGCGAAGCAAAAGAAGTATGATTCTATGATGTGGACGGAGAAGTACCGTGCTAGAAAATTTACCGATCTTATTGGAGATGAGCGCACACACCGAGCTGTCCTCCGCTGGCTAAAGGGATGGGAGCCAATCGTCTTTCCAGGCCTATCTAAGTCTCGTCCAAAGAAAGGCCAAGATGAGGATGAAGAGCGCATTCATCGAAAGGTGCTCTTGTTGAGTGGGCCACCCGGACTTGGAAAGACGACACTGGCGCATGTCTGTGCCAAACAGGCGGGCTACGAGGTGCTGGAGATCAATGCTAGTGACGAACGCAGTAGGGATGTGGTCAAGGGCCGCATCCGTGATGCGTTGGCCACGGAAAACGTGAAAGGCGCAAATGTGGAGGTTGGCGAGAATAAGGTCCGCCGTGCTGCGAGGCCTGTCTGTGTCGTTGTTGATGAAGTTGACGGCGTTGTTGGTGGAGCTGGAAGTGGTGGCGAGGGTGGCTTCATGAAAGCCCTCATCGACCTCGTCATGCTTGACCAGCGGAATTCAAATAAGACCGAAGATAACAGAGGCAAAAAGCGCAAGGGTGATAATTTCCGCTTCCTTCGGCCCTTAATCTTGGTGTGCAATGATCTCTATCACCCCAGTCTCCGTCCTCTGCGAGCGTCATCTATCGCGGAGATGATTCATGTTCGACAGGCCCCCCTGGATAATGTCGTTCAACGAGTCAAAATCATTTTCACCCGCGAAGGAATCCCCTGTGATGGCGATGGAGCCCGACGACTTTGCGAAGCAGCTTGGGGATTAGCGAGTCGAAGAAAGCGCGGTGACAAAAATACCGGATCTGCCGAGGGTGATATCCGCAGCGTGCTGGTAGCCGCAGAATGGGTTGCACACAAGTTACGGAATGAGCGCCCAACAGCGTTGCGACTGACCCGAAATTGGCTAGAGCAACGAGTACTCAGTGCGTCAACGGAAGGTGGATCATTCTTCAAAGAAATGAGCCGCGGAGGTGTCCGCGAGATTGTCAACCGTGTCTTTACTGAAGGTGCAGGCTTCACGGACACTCCCATGGGAATGACCTTCCAAGATAAGTACGACGGACCGGACACACGGGTCCCTGTTGGTGTAGCCGATCTGCGCAAGAGACACGCCATCAATCGCCTGCGAGAGATGGTGGATTCTAGCGGCGACCATGACCGCTGTGTTTCCGACTGTTTTGCCGCATATCCCATCCAAGAGTACCAGGACGACACTTTTCTTTCCAAGCCAAATGCTGCTTACGAATGGCTCCACTTCCATGACACTATTTCTTCGAAGGTTCATTCGCAGCAAGAATGGGAATTGGGTCCGTACCTGAGCCAGTCGGTCTTGGCTTTCCACCATCTCTTTGCCTCTGCCGGAGGCAAGACCGAGGCCACAGAAAAGGATGAAGAGGACGAGGATGCCGAGGAAGAACACCCGTTCGCCGGCCCCCGAGCCGATTTCGCCGCATTCGAAGCAATGAAAGCAAACCGCGCAATCTTGAACGGCTTCCACACTTCATTCTCAGCACCCATAACGCGCATATTCCGATCATCTGAATCTGTCATCACGGACCTGGTCCCACATCTAGTCCGCATGCTCTCGCCAGACGTGAAACCAGTCATCGTCCGAACAGGCGGTGACAACAAAAGCACAGCCAGCGTTCGCAAAGAGACCGAGCGAACTCTGGTTCAATCCGCCGCACGCGTCATGGCCGGTATGGGAGTCACATTTGAGAAAGTACGAGTTGAGCAAGAAGGCGGTGGTCACGGTGGCTGGGCCTACAGAATGGAACCGTAAGAACCCCCTCATCCATGAGAAGATGATCAGATCAGATCGGCAAACTAACAAAACGTATACAGACCAATCGACTCACTCGTTTCGTTCTCAAAAATGCCCGGCGCGGCTTCCGGAGGCAACGCACCCGTTCGATACGCCGTCCGCCAGGTCTTGGACCAAGAATATCGCAAGGAGACGACGCGGAAGCAATCCGAACATTCTGTCAGTGGTAAATATGCACTTGGCAAGACCCCACAACCAGGCGAAGCTGCCAAAAAGTCTATGAAAGAAGGTCTTGTTAAGCGGGACTTTTTTGGGCGGATTCTTGAGACGCCCAGTCCCAACAGCAAAGAAGGGGAGTCCTCTGAAGAAGGTGCGTCGGATGATCTGTCGAAAGCCGGGAGGAAGGTTTGGGTTACGTATCACGAAGGATTCTCGAATGCGGTCCGGAAGCCTATCTCGATGAGTGAGTTGATGGCTGGACTGTGAGTTGTGTGAGTTTTTCGGGGCATTTACTATGGCGTTTTTGTTTCTTGGTCCGGACAGTCAGGGGTTTATTTGTTGTCGTATACCATTCATTAGTTTCCCCAGAGGCAGTTCT